TCAGACTCATAGTGATCCTCCTGTTTACAGCCTCCCAGCAGCTAGGATTACAGGTGCACGCCACCAAACCCAGTCTCAACCACCATCTCAGTATGCTCTGGGGGGCGGGGCCAGCACAGCAGGCCTGGAGATTGAACTCCTGCCCTTGTGGCTGCCTAAGCAGGTGCTTTAATCTGCTGAGCTATTTGGCTGGTCCTAAAATTTCAATTTTTATACTATAAACAGAGACATGGTACAAAAATGGTTTTAAGAATTGTGATAGAAGGGGATAATTTGCTAGAATACTTGAGTGTTTATGACATTATTAAAAGCTCAGGCTAGTCACAGCCACTACAAAGTGAGGGAAGGATCCTAGAAAAGAGACTCAAAATATAGGTAATCTAGATTCTGTTTAGGTATCTCTGGCTAATACTTGGGAACATGCATACATAGTGTAAACTAAGAACAAAAGAACTGGGATATCCACAGGCTGGAGAGACAATTGTGGAGAGAGTAAAGGCTTAGTAGATTAAACCCAGGCTGGGAAAGTTATGGGGGCCGTGCCCTCTGTGGTGAGAAGCCAGACCTATCTGTGTGGCTTTCAGAAGAGGATGAGTCTGAAAGGGCTGGCATTAATTCCCATGGCCTGCTTGAATTCTCACTCTACTGCCTATATCTAGTGCAGAGCTCAGCAATCTATTTGCTTTCATCATCTACCAAAGTGAGCAAGGAGACACCTGAGCATGGATGATTGCCATAGCCTGGGCTGTATGAACAGAGGAGCCTCTGGAGCAGTGGGGCCACCACATAAACCCACAGGCTAGAAAGAAAAAGCAGTGACTTTAAGGGCACAGAGAGACTCAGAAACTGGAATCTTCACAATGAATATGGCCTTAGGACCGATAACATATGCTGACTACCCCTAGTGAGAAACATGGATCAGAATTCAACATTTACACAAAAAAGTAAGTGTGGAAACAAAATAGGTTTTAGCAGTGACTCATTATCTTTCCTACATCTGTGGCAGATTCTAATACTGCAGATCCTAGAGAGAAACCACTCATTTAAAAACCCTCCCTCCCTCCCTCCCTCCCTCCCTCCCTCCCTTCCTTCCTTCCTTCCTTTCTCATCATTGTTTTTTGGGGGATTTTGGTTTTTCTCTTTTTTTCTTTCATCTTGTTTGTTTCATCTTTTACTTTTTTCAGAGTACTGAAATTTCAAGACCAGTGTAGGCAACTTAGAAACAGCAAGATCCTGTTCTCAAAATAAAAGATAAAAAGATCTGGAGATGTAGCTCAGAGTGAAGGCACAGGGTTCCATCCCAAATACCACCAAAATAAAGTTCCATAATACACAAAGTTAAATTTTTAGAACTTTGGCAACAAAGCTTTTATGAATTTTGTAATCATAACATAGAGCAGGACCTGTGCCATAGAACAAGTCTAAGACTGGTCAGAATATGGACATAGGAACCTGCAGGTAATCTGTATTTCTGTCCTAAGTCTACTGTAGCAAATGACCACAAACCTGGTATTATAAATGGAAATCTCCTCTCTTGCAGTTTTGAAGACCAGAAGTCTGAAATCAGGGTAAGAGCAGAGCCATACTGCCTTTGGAGGATTTAGGGATAAATAAACTAACTCTAACTCTTCACCACACTAACTCTTCTCCAGCTATACGTAAGAAAAGCTATACTGGCTGGTGTGCCATGCCCAGGGTACTAGGGCTGGCAAGGCAAGTGGGTCCAGGGATGAACTCAGAACCTCGTGCTTGCCAGGTAGGTGCTTATGCATCGGAGCTATCTCCCCAGTTCTGAAATTTTTTACATACAGAGTAAGTTAGTTTCTAAAGATAACTGCTTCACTGATTGGTGGTCTAGGCCACTCAGTGTCTTAGCCTTTTTTTCGAGAAGGGAACAAGGTCAGCATAAGTGAATGGGAATGACATATTCATAAGGTTACAGTAGATAAATTCTCTCAAGTACATGGTACACAAATAAGCATGTGATGATCCTACAATATTAGGGATCAGGTTTTGTCCTGTATTTTTTTCTATGTCCCTCTACATCTACACTTTTATAATCCATATGATTTAAAAGCTATCATTCTAATAGAATTTTTTAAGGACACCGGTTGAGTTTAGGGTACTGTTGTCCCAGTTGTTATATATACATTGAAGCTATGCCTAGCAAATCATTCTCTATCCCCAGTAGCTGTTATACACAGGTCCAAGAACCAGGGTTCAAGTAGAACTGGTTCTTCTCTCCATCTCTTCTACATTCTCACTTATCCTTTCCTAGCATTGTGCTAGGTTAAAGGTTCTGTTTCCTGGGGCAAGAGTTCCTCTAAATATGAAGCTCCTCTAAATACTGTCTGATCTTTGAGTCTTCTTTGTCAAGAGATGATGGGGGGAAAGATACTGATGAATACATGTCATTTATCATATTAAGTTTGCTGAGAAATTTCCACTAATATATTTTTCCCTGTATTCATTGAAATAATCATATGGATAGTTGGATGTCAGAATTTAGATTATATGAAATTTCCATTAAAATGGAAGAAAATTAAGAAGTTAATTAAGACTACAACATTAAAAACTAGCAAAAACGTCAACACAAAGGAAAGAAATAAGAGCAGAAATTGGTGATGTATAAGACAGAAAACCAGTAGAACTAATGTAGAAATGAAAATCATTAGGGGAGAAAAATGAACACTTACATAGTCATTAATTAGTCAATTCACTTTTCATATGTAAAATTACACCTACAAAGGCACAGAAGCCTAGATTTGAATATTTCTTTTAGAATTTTGAAGCCATTTATGTATTATTTTCTTCCCTCTACTGTTCCTGTTAAGAATATCATTCTTATTTTTTAAGCATCCTATTTTTTCTAACTCTGGTTATTTCAGTTTCCTCTGGTGCTCTCAAATTTAAGTGTGATATGCCTTGCTTTTCCATTCACTAGCATATAAGTCAGTGGTTGCATCTTTTTTTCAGTAATGGGAACTGAATGCAAGGCCTTGCTCATCACAGACAAATGCTCTTAGCACTGAGGTACTAAGTCCTTTGCCTTTTTTATTTTTTATTTTGTGATAGTGCCTTTGTGCAGGCTGCTCTTTAATTTAAGATCCTCCTGCTTTGGCTTCTCAAGTAGCTGGAATTACATGTGTGCCACTACACGTGAGTTATGGTTCTATCCTTTTTATATTCCATCAACAGTGTATGAAGATTGAGACTGCTTCACATTCTAGTACTTTATGCTATCAAGTTCTTGTTTGTTTTGCCATTCTGATCTGTGTGTAAAAATATCTGACAGTTTTAATTTAAAGATGTAAATAAATATCAACAAGTTATTTAGGTTTACTCTCCCCAAAGAATAGCAGTATCCTTTTTGGTTCAGCAAACTAGCTTAGTGTACATCTTTGCTGAGGGCATACATTGTGGCTGATTTGTGAAGAGCAATTTTCCACACAGCAGATCTTCATTTACTATCTGCTAAGCCTGGTACTGTTCTGCCTTCGCAGGAAAGATAGAGAACATAAAAGTCAATAAAAACAAAATCTTCCATATTATTATTAGTGTGACAAAGAAAACAAACAGGACACCACAAACTCACCATAAAGATCAGCAGAGCTAGATAGCAGAATCCCAGAAGGATCTGGTCACATATCTCAAGATAAAATGTGCTTACCTATTGGCAAGGAAGATTAAACCAATAGCCCGTGCCATATTTCTCAAATTTGTTAATATCACAACTTTCTACTTTTAAAAGGGACTAAAATGTATAACAGTTTTGATTTCTCTGCTGAGACTCCAGCTAATTGTCACAAATGATATTTACATGTGGATATTTAAAGCAGGTGATAGATAATACACAGATAGATGATAAATTGAAAGACAGACATAAAATTAACCCTTCAAGACTTCTAATCACAGAACTTTCTCACAATTCACAGAGGAAAACAGGAGGCTCAAAGAAGAAGCTGAAGCTACACTAGCTCAACCCTAGGGTGGCCAATAGGCAGGGGACCCTGTACCTTGGTGCATTTTCAGCTTCTGGCTCAGTTACTCAGATGCAGATCAATCAGCTTTACCTGCACCTTGAGCTATGGATGGGAAAGTGTTTTAAGGACACTTTCCTTCATCGGTGTATGTGCCAAAATATCCACACATTAATAGAGATCTTGGGGCTAGCCAGTTAGCTCAGGGGACTAAAGCGCCTGCTTATGCAGATGCAGGGAATGGGGTTTGATCCCTGGTGTGCTGTACAGGCCCCACTTGCGGAATACACTGAGAAAGTAACTGAGACTGGGTGTTCACCACACCCAGTATGTGCCTGTAATCCCAGCACTTGGGAGGCTGAAAACAGAAGGATCACTAGGAGTCAAATCTATATAGTGAGACCCTGTACTAAATACATTAAAACAAAATAGAG